TTTCGTAATAACGTTTTATCCCGTGCGTTCGATTATTCCGTTGGGTTTGTAAATGTATAACGGTAAGGTTTTAATAACAATGCTTTTAATTTAAACCCATTTTTCGTATTCCAAAAACCCTTTTACAAATATAATAAACTTTTTTTGGTTGTATTTAAAAATAGCAATAAACAATTCGTATTGTTTTTTTATTTACGCTTTTTATTTTTTTAGGATTTTGGTAACCGTTGGTCCCTTTTTGTTTAAAAATGTAAAGCTCCAGGTTTTGCCGCTATATTTATTTATTAATAGCAAAACTTAATTTATCCTTAATTTCGATTTAAAGTAATTAAATAGGTTAAACCAAACTTTCCAAAAAGGGCGCATACCCCTTTTTATAAAGCGTTTGGAAACGATGGTTGTAGCGTAAGTTGTTGCGCATACTTTGCATTCGATCCGCTTAGGTCCTTTAATTTTAACGTTCCGGGCGTTCCAAACGAAAGTTTTTAACGCTTGTAATTCCAAATAACCATTGCGCAAATGCTAAAAATCGGCGGTATTTTTTTGCAATTTCGTAAAATTTAAAGTTAAACGCTACGTATGCGTAATACGCTTGCGGCGGAAAAACTTTTTAATTGCAAAAGTTAAAATTGTATTACCGGGAAAGGATTATAGCGTAATTAATATAAAGTAAATAGCAACGGGTTTGTATTTATAAAACATTACGTTGTTTTTGCGCTAAAAGCGTTTAATTATTATTCCGTTAATAACTTTTTTAATGCGCAAAGTTGCGTTTTTCCCGCAAAACCATACCTTTTTAGCGTTTAAACGGGCTTTCGAAATAATATTAATATAAAAGCCTTTTACCAAAGTAACGTTGTAAAGTTTAAAGTTTTTATTTCCGTTTAAAAAGCCAAAAAGCGTACAAATGCTTTGTTCCAAAATCGGAAAGTATTAAGTACCGCATTAAACCGTTTCGGTACCGTTTAACGATTGGAATAACCTTTCGTTAAAGCGCTTTTTATTATTAACGATATAAAGCAAACCGCAATTATCGAATAGCGTGCTTTCGAAATAAATGTTTTTTATAATATTAAAAGCCGAAAAAACGTTTTAAAGCAAAAGCATTTTAAATACGGCCGCATTTAAATCCCATTTTTTTTTTAAAGTTCGGGAACCGGAATTTAACGCGCTTTCGGCTTGTTTTTTTTAAACGGAATTTTTAAACTTGCTTTTGGAAAGGAAAAACTTTTTAAATAATTTCCAACGGTTTTTTTTTAAGGATTTTTTAATTTTTTTGCACCTTTTGTTGTTTGGCTTGTTGCGAAAGCGTTTGGAATTGCCGGTAAGTACGTAAACGAGCTTCCAGCAATTTTCCAGCTTCCAAAAATGGGTTTAAATGCAAACCGGGCATTCGTACGTTATTGCGTTATTTTGTTAAATGCTTTTAACTTTTTCGTTTTTGTTTTTAAATGCGCTTTAAAAAGTTAAAAACGCGAGCTTTTTTTTAATGCCCGAATTATTAATGCGGTGTTAAAAAAGGATTATTAAAAATTTGCTAACCAAAATATTTATTTTTCCCGTAAAGTTGCTTGTAATTACTTTTTAACGGTAACGCTTTGCTTACAAAAGGTTAAAACGCTTTATATGCTTAAAAAAATTAAGCATAAGCGTAAAGCTTTATATTTTAAAAACGTTTTTAATTTTGGCTTAAATAAAAATTGTTTGAAATTTCGAAAATTATTGGTTAACGTTTGTAATGCTAACGGCTTTTTTAAACGTATTGCGGTATTTTTAAAAAATTATTTAAATTTCCATTATAAAAGTAAAAGCGTAAAGCGTTTTTAAGCAAATAATGGTATTGCGGAAAGTAACGTAATTATTGGTTTAAACTTTTAATTACGCGTTTGCAAGCGCAATAAAATTTACAAAAAAATTAATTTATTTGGAAAGGGTTATAATTTTTTTTAAAACGGTTTTGCTTGCGGTATTTTTTGTTTTAAGCGCTTTTTTATATTTAATTTTAAAATTACTTTTGGTAAAAACCGAAAGGGCTTGGGAAAGTTTGGAATTAAATTTTCGCGTAACTTTCCTTTTGCTTTGCTAAGCTTTTAAGCAAGCTTTTTTTTTTCGGTCGAAAGGATCGTTTGTTAAGCCAAGCGCTTAAATTTATAATTTTTAACGTATTTGGCTTGGGCTTTTGCTGCAAAAAAGTTAAAATTTAAAGTTTCGTTAACTTGTACGTTGTTCGGAAACTTTAAATTAAAATTAACCTGGTTTTAAATTTTTAGGATTAATGCGTTTTAACGAAGCGCTATTAACCACGTAAACCATTACTTTTAATTTTTAAATAGCGTTATTACGAAAAGGTCGTTATCCGTATTACTTATAATTGGTAACAACCGGAAATTCGTAAAAATAAAACGGTAAAAAACAAAAGGTTGGAAGTTTTAAAAGCGTAAAAACGTAAAAATTAAAAAAATGGAATTTAATAAGGGTTTTTGGCAACGTTTGGAATTAACAACGGAATTTGCTTCGGCAAAAAAATTTTTGTTAAAAAAGGTTTTGAAAGCGTAAAAATCTTTCCGTATAAAAATTGCGGAAAGGAAAAAAAGGATAAACGCGTTTGGAAAAGCGCGTTTGGGAACAATTTAATAAAAGTAATAAAAAAGGAATAAATCCGTACTGCTAAGCCTTTTACTTTACGTAAAAGGGTTTAAAAGTTGCCGGGCTTATAATTGTTGCAAGCAAAAGGGATAAGCACAATGTAAGGCTATTTTAATTAATATACTTTAAGGAAAAAAGGATTTAAAGTGCAGGGTTTTGTAAGGGCCTTTGCCCTTTATATACACGTAACTCCCTGTCCTCCTTGCTTACTAAGCTTCTTTCTTAACGCCTGGATGCGTTATACGCTTCCAGGCAAGGGGACCGCTTTTCCAATGCCTTAAGCATTTGATATTTATGCCTAAAGCTTCTTTATAACAGTATATACTGTTTACTTTGTAACAATAAAGCTCCAATGCAATATGTTCCCAATAATTTAAAAATTATTTTTTTGCTTTATGCTTTATTTAACGCCAAAAACAACCAAAAAGCCGATTTGTAAATTTAAATCCTTATTATTAGCAAAAAACCCGCTTACAAATACGTATAATTTGGCTTGTATTAAATCCATTTGCACGTAATTTAAGCTTTTATCCGCATTATCGATTTGCCATTAAATGCGTTTGTTAAGCTTTGTAACGTTCGTGTTAAAAGGGTTTTGGGCTTGCGCGGTTACAAAACAGTTAAATGCGGTTTCCGGCTGGTATATAAAGCTAATATACGCCTTTCGTACGCGCTAAACCACGTATTGTTGCTAAGTATTATCGCTTTTGCAAAGCACGAGCTCGAACCAATTTGTTTATCCCTTTTGTTGCATGTAAATAACTGTTTTGCTAATCGTTATTTTGCAACCGTTAAAATGGCTTTCATTTCCCGGGCTTAAAATGGATTGTAACTTAGCTTTAAAGCTTGCTTTTAAAAAAACAATTTCTTTTTTTTCCATAAAAGCTTTGCTGCCCAGGTTTAACGTATCGTTGGTTTGCGTATTAACAATTCCAAAGCTTTTGCCAATTTTTAAAAGGAATAAATAAAAATCGTAATTGGAAATAAAGCAATTTAAGCGTTTTTTATAATGCTTTTGGTATGTAACGAATTAATGCAATCCCGCTTTGGCCAATTCGTAAAGCGGTTTAATTAAACGAAATAAAGTTTTAAATAAGTAATGCTATTGCAATTTTTTAAATAAACGCAAATAAACGGTTTTTTGCAATTCGGTTTCGGCTTGGGTATATGCTTAATTAATATCCCGAATTATTAATTGGTTATTTATAATTATAAAGCTTAGTGCAAACGCAAAAATTAAGCGTTAATTGCATTGCATAATTGTTGGAAATTGGGTAAGCAACGTTGCCTTTTCCCAATTGCTATACCTTTATACCACAAATTTTAATTGTTTGTAAAATGCTAAATTTATTCCTTTAACCTTTTTAACCATTCGTAAACCAAAAACCTTTGCCAATTTATCGATTTGCTATTTTTTAATTAGCTTTATTATTTCGTTGGATAGCAAATTCCTAATTTTTTTTGGTTTAATTGCTTAAAAGGTTTGCCGGGGGTTGTAATTTTGCCAATTTGGCGGTAATAAAGCGCTAAACGCATAAACTTTATTTTTTTTGCGCTTACAAAAGCCAATAAAATAATTTTCCGCGCGGCGTTGCATTTAAAACGTTTATTGTATTATGCAATAACCGGAAATGTCGAAAGCTAAAATGCTTTGCACGGTTTTCCTCGTTAGCGCCGAAGCGGCGGCGGGAAATTTTTAATTTTAAAATCGTTTTTGCTATTGCTTTTCGAATTATAATTTTAGTACTTGGTAATTTTACAAAATCGTTTTTAAAATTGTAATTTGGGCAAAATTAAATATGCAAATGGTTTTAATTGTTTTTTTAAATTTGCTATTTGTTGCTTTTCTAATTTTTGGTAAAATTTGCAAATAATGCTGCAAAACGTTATTAAACCGTTTAGCATATTAATAATAACTTTATTATTTATTACTAACAAAATTTTAAAAGGTTTTTGCTATTCCTTTTTTTTTCGGTATACGAAAACTTTATTTTTTAAAACGAAAAAACTAAGCAACGTCCTTTTAATGTTCGAACCGTTGCGCGTATTTAATACGTTATTAACTTTTCGTTTAACAAAAAGTTTGCGCAATTTTGCTATGGTTTTGGTAATTGCTACCGTTCGTTAAATTTGCGTTCCCGTAAGTGCCGAATTGTTAATTAGTTAAAGCATAGCATTAAAAACGAGCAGCGTAAAAACCAGCCCGTTAAATCCGGCGATATCGTTTAACGCTTTAATTGCTTTTTAGAACGTTAAATTTAAATGGATATTAAAGCATTCCCTTTTAATTATTTTGTAAGCATAACGGAAAGGTTCGTAATACCTTTTAACTTTGCTTATTAACCAATAAGCTTTTATAAAAACCTAATAGCAAGTAATTCCAAAAAGCTTTGCTTCCGCTTAAAATTTGCTCGTAATAAAGTTAATTTTTGCATTGTAAAATACCACGTTAAGCGGGCCAAAATAAGTGTTAAATTAACAGCGCTTAAAAGCTTTCCAAATTTTTTTAACTAATCCCTTTTTAAAAAGGTTGCGGCGCTAAACGCAATGCTTGCATTAATTACATAAAGCATTTATTTATTATTTAAATGCATAACGTTAACAATTACTTCGTAATTAAAATTAACGTTATTTTTAAGCATAAATTTAAAACGTTACGGGGCGGAGCTTGTAATTTGGCAATGGTGGCATACCCAATTAATTATTTGCAAAGCGTTGCAATTTGCCCAATGGTTTGCTTGGTTAAACATATGCCAAAAGCGTTTAACAAAAGGGTAGCCAAATCGTTTGTACAAACGTTTTAATTCGGCTTTTGTTAAAAAAAGCACTTTTGCGCTTTAAGGATTAATTAAATACGAAGCGGTTGCCGTTGTATTGCTAACTTTATCGATAAAAAATTATAAGTAATTTAATTGTTTGGTAATTAATACGCGCTTGCTTTGTTTGGTTACAAGCTTATTGCGCGTATTATCGAAATAAACCCCCAATTTGTTTATATTTTCCAAGCATATAAAAAAAAAGGTATGCGTTGGAATTATATAAAAAGTAACCAATCCAACGGGGGTTTGCAAAGTAATTTCGTTTAAATTGTACAAAGCGTTTTTTAAACCAAAGCGAATTTAGTATTTGGCTTTGCTAGTAACCATTTGGAAATTTAGCAAATAGCGTTGCAATATTCGGAATTGTATAAAGCTAGCAATTAAAACTTTTGCGGCTTTTATATCGGGCATAATACCGCACCATTTATTTCCGTTAAAAAGTACGTATTGCTTTAATATTTGTTTTTTATCGCTTTTATTTAATCGATATTAAAAATAAGCATGGATACGGTAACGAAAAGTTTTATCGGCGAAAAATTTTGCGGTAATAGCGGTAAAAAATTATAATAAAAAAGTTTTTCCTTTTTTATCGTTTAATTAATTGCTAAATTTTAACGTTAAATAAATTTATGGATCGTTTGCGGGCGCTTTATCGTTTTTATTGTTACTTTTTTTTCGTATTTAAAAAGGAATTGGGAAAACTTTTTTTTTAATTGCTATATTTTTAACGGTTTTGTTTTTAGCGCTTTTTTAAATTGCGCTATTTTTTTAGCGTATGCTGCGTAAAGCGGCAATTAAGCTTGTTGCAAATCCAGTACTTATTAATGTTGCGGTTTTAAAAATTGGAAAAGCGTAATTTCCCAGCGCTTTTTGTATTTTATCCATCGTTTTTAACGTTTTTTTCGAATTTGCGTTTAATAAAATAATTACCGTATGCGCTTATATTTTTTTCCATTTAAAAAGTACTGCGCAATTGGAAAACCAAATTTTTAAACGTTTTTTTTAAACGTAAAAGGGCCATTTTAAGCTTGGGCATTTTTTAAATTGCACGGAAAGTGCTTGTAACCAGCTGGTGGTTTTGCTGGTAAACAAGGCTAAAAGCTCGCTAATAAGCTTAAAATTTGTTTAAAAGGATTTAAAGCATTTCCATTTTGTTTTTGCTTGCGTTTTTGCTTTTTAAACGAACGGTTTGGAATGTAATCGAGCTTTAGTTCGTATAATACTATTGCTTGTTAATTTCCGTATTAAAATGCTTTTAAAGCTTAAAGTAAATTTTTTTAAAAAAATAACTTTTACCGATAATTTAAATAAAATAAGCTTTGGTTCGGTTTATAAAGGTTATAAAAAAAATCGCGTATAATTGCAAAAGGAAAATGCTAAGCGCTTTACAAATATTTGCGAAAATTAAAACTTTATCGTTTAAAATGTTGTATTGTTTTTTTAAATATTTATATGCTTTATTTTACATATTGCAAAAGGCTTTTAGTAAGTTCGGATTAAACGGTGCATTGGGCATTTCCAATAATAAAAGCATACGGTATTGGTTTATTGTTTGGGGTGCCGGCTGGTATTGCAAAAAAACAAAGGTTAAAAAAGTTTTTTAAAAAATTGGGGTTAAAAAAATTATTCGAAAAATTAGGGTTTGGCTTTTTGCCAAATCCTAAACAACAAAGTACTTTTTAAAAATCCGGGGCCGGTTTTTTTAATTTAGTAAATTATAAAAATGGATTCCGTTTAATTAATAAGTTTTTTTTTTGGTAAAAAGCTAACCTTTGGTTTATTGCTTAAAGGAATTAAAAAAACGGTAATTTAAAAATAGCTGTTTTTGCCGGGGTACCGGGAAATAAAGCCAATTTTAAAATTGGGCTTTGGTTTCGTGCTCGTTGCGTTCGAGCTTTTGTATTCGTTTGCTTTAAGGATCTTTGGTTAACCGCTTTTCGGTAGTTTTTTCGTTGCGGGCCTTAACTTGTACCAAAATTTTTGCAAATAAGGATGCAATTTCCGGCGCTTTGCCTTTGTTTTAGCAATTTAACGTTAAAGGTTTTATTGCTTTTTTAAATGCCAAATTTTAAGCGTTATTTGTATTGGTTATTAATAAGTTTAATTTTTTCGAGCCCTTTAAATTTGCTTTGCCGGAAACGGTAATTTTTCGATTTATTAAAAACTTAACAAATGCTTTTAAAGCTTTTTTATTAAAATATTCCAAACGTGCTAAGCTTAAACCGTCGAAATCTTTAAAAAAAAGCGGAAAAAAAAAGTTTACCGCTATAATAGCAATATTTAAGCATAAATTTAAAAATCCAAGCTTAAACTTAATCGTTGGAAACGGTTTAAAATGCTCCTTTTAAAATGTAATTTGCTTGTTAAAAAAGCTTTTCGTTATAAATATTTATAAAGTTTTAAAAAAGGCCTAAATTTTTAAATAGCTTTATAATTTTTTCCGTAAAATAAGTTTTTTTTAATCGGAATTATTTTCGAAAGCTGCTTTTTGTACTGCAAATATTTTGTTGGTAATGCTTATTTAATCGTTAAAACCTTATCGGAAAAACTTGTAATTGTTCTTTTGGTAAGTAAACGAGCAAATTCGCTTCGGGTAATTTTTTAATCCAAAAGCTTACAAAAGCTTAAAAACTAAAAATCCAATCCATTTCGGGAATTACATAACATCCTTTCCTAAGCTTGTAAATTCTTTTTAATTAATTTTAATTTAATTGCTGGGCAACGCAAGCCAAAAAAGAAAGGGATTTACTTGCTTAGCAAATACGCTATCGAACGGGGGAAAGGTATTCCTTTGCTCCTAAATCTCTCGCTAACTTTTTTTTTCGATTAAAAAATTTTAACGGGTAATTTAGCGCTAAATCCTTTACCTAACCGTTTTGTATTGCCTTTTAAACAATATTAATTAATGTTGGTAAAAATCTGGTACTTTTATTTTAAAGCTCGGAAATTTCCTGGTAAAAGTAAACAACGATTTTAATGATTTGGGAAAAATCCTATTATTATGCATACCGAAAAAAAAATTATTTACCAAAAAAAAAGTACAAAATTGCCCTTTATATGCGCAGGGACAATTACCCAAAGGGTGGTTCCCTGCTTTGTTTAAAGCAAATAAAGTTAGCCCGTGCGGGATCCGGAAAATCCCAAAGCCTTTTGTAATAACTTCCCTTTCCGGATCGCACGCGCACCGCAATGCTGTTCCAACAGTTAAAGTATTTCCAAAAGGTTTTTAATTTTTTTTCGAATAAAGGATAAATGCTTTCGTAAAGCGGCATCGTTTTTTTTTAATTTAATTGCGTAATTTTAACTTGTATGTTTTAGCAAAGGGTTTAATTTATAAAGTTGCGCATGTTTTGCAACCATTTTTTAACCCATTTCGGGAAAGTTTTTAGCCATTCCCCGGAATTTTCCGGGGTTTTCGGGCGTATAACCGTTAGTATGGCTATTGCTTATTCCAATTAAACCAGCTTTTTAGCTATTTCCAACGAAATTATTTTAACCTTTTTAATAATTACCGGAAATTTCCATTTTATATTTTTAAACCGGATTTTAATGTCCTTTTGCTAAAGTTAAAGCATGCTTAACGTAATGTTATACCCGGCCCGGGGCATTATTACGTAAAATACCATTAACTTTCGGGTTATTCCCTAGCTATCCGTTACCCAAATTTTGTATTTTTTTACTTTTAGCGTAAATATGCGTTTTTTGGTATCGAGCTACGTTAAGTAACCCCCGTTTAACACCGGTATTTTTTTTGCTTTTATTAAAAAACGGTTATGCAATAAATTAACGTTGCTTTTATTATTAATTAACGCTTTTAATTTTACCCGGCAACCGTTAATTTATAAATATACTTTAGTTTTTTAACGCGTTTTGGCCGTTAAAGCGCATTTTTAAGCCCCGGTGCTTAAACGGCCAAATAGCGGTGTTAAATTAGGTAACGATATTTTGCTTTTTTTAAAATACGCTAGCCGGATATAGCTTAATTCCTTATACCCGTAATACCGTACTTTAAGCTTTTTCCTTTTCGCTTTTTGTATGGTTGCTGGAGCCAACGGGGTTTTCGGGTTATCCGTCCGTATTTTGCATGCTATAGCGATATGGTTTAATTGCCCGCATTTAAAGTAAATAACCGGCTTTTTAACGGTTAAAGCACTGGTATTCCCTGGTATCCTTTTATGCGGTTCCGATATTATTTTTGCTTTAAAAGCTTTGGCTTGCAATTTTTCCATAATGTAAAAAAAGCTTTTAAATGTTACCCGTTTTTAAATTTCGGGGCGAAACCGGTTAAAAAGCAATATTATTTTTATTTATTTAAATATTAATTTGGAAAAGTTATTTTTTACCAAATTTTAGCAAATTCGAAACGCTTTAAACGATTTGTAATTTTTTTGCTTAATAACGGTATTTCCCGCGAACTTTTTAATTGTTAATTACATTTGCAAATTGGGGTTTTTTAATTTTGTTTAAAATTACCGCAAAAAATCGGTTTAAATAAGCAATACCCCGGTATTTAAATAATGCATTTGCTTGTATTTTATTTATTATACCCGTTGCTAATAATTAAAAGTGCTAAAAATTATTTAAATTTTTATACGGTTTTTACCGTAACGTTCTTTTTTGCTTTTAAAAATAAGTTTGTAATTGTTAATGTAATAAGCAATATTTTGCCATGTTGCAAATTTTTTAAATATAAGCGGTTTAAAAATAATTTTGCTTTACGTAAAACCTTTTCGTTGTTTAAAAGTATTTTTTTTTATTTTCGTTTAAACTTTTATGCGCATGCTTTAACCTTTTATTTTAAATTTTTAAATTAAATTAGCACGTTTGTTTTGGGCTTCCAACGCGTTATTTATTTTTTGCAATTCCTTTACGAAAAGGTTTTCGAAATTATCGGAAATTTGCGGGGCTTTTTTGGTATTTTGTTCCGGTAACTTAACGGCCCTTTCCAACGTATTTAACGTAGCGTTAAGCGTTATTATAAGCGGTGCAAAATTGCAAATGCCTTTTTTAAACTTATTTAATCCCTTTCGGTAATTACCCAAATTTATTTTTTAAATAAAAAAAGTAAAAAAAAAGGAACAATATATTAAAGGTTAATTAATGCAAAAGCGGGTAATTACCAAATTACGGGCCGAATGCGGTATTTTTTTTGTTAAATTTCCGTAAATTTTTTACCAAAAGTGCTATTTCCAACAAAAATTGTTCCTTTTTTAACTTTCCTTTTTTTCGTACCCTTTCCGGCACGCGGGGTTGGTTTTATAAATTTTCCGCGCTCCATGCGCTTTTGTGCAATTTAAGCTTTACCTTATTTTTTAACTTTGCCATTATGCTTTGGCCGCGATACCGGCACTTTGCCGGCACGTTACCAGGAAAGTCCGTGCCCGGCCAACTGTGCCAGTGCCCCCTTCTTCCTTTCTGCCGGGCGGTTTCGCCCGTGCTCCTAACACAGTTTAGCATTCGAATGCAATAAAAAGTAAGGAAAACGGATTAAAATTGATGGAATCCCGTAAAATTAAAGTACGTGTAAGGATTTGAGGCTGTAAGGCTAACAGGGTGCCCGTTTGGGGGGTGCCCGACATGGGGTGCACTAACTTAAATTTGGCGGCGAATTTCCGTAAAACTTACACTTTTGTTAACAACTGGGTGTACTGCAAACTGATAGTACTATTAGAAAAATACAAAGGAAGCTGCTTAAAAAATACAAATAAAATGAGGAAATTCCTCATGTAACTGTGCAAACCCAAATATTAATGTAGCTTAGCTCATGTTAGCCCAAGCTTAGCTCAAGCTAGTTCAGGCTCTGCTTAAGTTAAAGTAACAACGGCTCCGGTCCATTAACCAAACAAGAAACTTTTAAAGCCCACAGTCGTAAGGTATATTTGTTTGTTATTTAAGGTGAATTAAGTATTAGAAATTGTGCTGATTTTTTAAGTGGAATCGAAGCTAAAACCAGCATATAAGTAAGTGCATTTTCCGAACACGTTCATTTGTTTAAATTAGCTTATGGTTTTATAAAGATAGCGTTTAAATGTGTTACGCGGAGATTATTAAGTAAAAATGATACAAGCAACGCATTTTAAAACCTAAGTGTTTATATTTGCTGGCTTCGTTAAACCTTCCTGCCTTCCCTATTTTCTCCTCCATCTCCCTTGGTGATTTTTTTTGCGCTTAAATATGGTGCTGCTTTCACTGTCATGGGGTTGGTTTCGGGGATTAAGGGAAGATGGCGCGGCGGAGGCGGGTGAGGCGAGATGGACATGGACAAAGCTACGGAGGCGAGGAAGGCCATCACCTTCATTCTTTTTTTCTTTCCTGGCTTCTATCCTCCAGCCGGACATTAATGCACTCTTTATTAGCCTTTCTTTTAATACCTTACCTTAAGGGTAAAAACCCGATTGTAACAAATAGTTTGTTAATACACATCGACAAATGTTTAAAAAAATTTTAAAAGTACGAATAATATTTTGCGAACGATAATCAAAATACTGGTTTATCAGGCTTGCACACTGTCCCGTGCGTAGGAAGCTTGCCTTCGGAAAAATAAGCCCCAATGGCGCCCTCGGAGCACGCCGATCTTTCGGCGACCGAGCTGTGCTGTTTTTGGAAAAGGAGAATAGAGGTTAGCGTTTAAACATGTCCATCAGGTATTTTTTTCCCAATTCGTATGCAAATAGGTAGGTAGGTGGGTAGCACTCACCCCGAACCCATCCCTTTGGAGCAGCACGCTGCCTTCGAATCCGGCGCTGACGTTCTTGGCCGAAACGAGCGGCGTGACCGGGTCCCAGGTCGGGTTGACGACCAGGACCGGGTACTTTGTCCTGACGCGGAAATCGCCATTGTACCTCTCGCGCGCGCCATTGAGCCGCCAGCGCGCGCACGGCATCGTGATGCTGCCGTGGATAGACCCGTTACCCATGAGGCGCGACAGCGACGCGACGCGCTCGATGGCCGGCATCGCGTCCTCGAGGGTGCGGATGCCCGCCCGCGTAGCCGGGTCCTTGTCGCCGCAGCGGATCCCCTGGAGCGCCTCGTTACTGACGACGCCCGCGAATGCGGCTGTGAGCTCGTCACGCCAGTCCCCGAAGCTGGCCACGTCGACATTGGTGCTGTCGCCGTCCCACCGCAGCAGCGCGTCCAGCCCCGCTGCCATCTTGGGGAAGAAGGCCGGGACGTAGAGGGTCGAGAAGACGAGTCCTTTGAGGTTGCTATAGTCCACCACGGCCGCGGGGGCCGAGGCGTAGTTGACGAGCGACTGCGGCAGTGGCAGCGGGCTGTGCTTGAGCCGTTCGAAGAGGCCGTAAATGTCCTTCTCGATTTGGGACGCCGTCGCGGCGCCGTTGTTGCGGCCGGCTAGGGCGCACCGCGCGGGGCCGGCCTTCACACATTCGGCCAGGATCCGGCGGAAGGATTCGTCGGTGCCTGACATCCACTCCGTATCAATGCTAGCACTCTCGTGTAAGTCACTGCAACCACAGGAAAACCCTCTTCCGCGTCTGGGGAGAGAGCGTGGGAGAGGGCGACCCACAGGTTATGGTAGTACTCGTGGGGATTCAGGACGCCGTCGATGACCATGCGACCGATCCTGTCCGGGAACATGGCCGCAAGCGTTGCGCCCAGCACGGTGCCGTACGAAATGCCGTAGAAGTTTACGAGCTCGCCCTGGCCCAGCGCGTCGACGATGCGCATGATGTCCCTGGCCACAAAAGCTGTGCCCACGAAGCCCGCCGTCGTTTCGGCCGTTTTGTCGGCGCAGGCGTCAGCGAAAACCTTGGCCGTCGCCCAGGTGCGCCCCGGCTGCACGTCGGACGAATCTAGGTAGGGGCCCCCGGACGCGGACATGCCGGAGAGGATGGCGAGGGCGCGGTCGAGGTCGCTGCCGTAGCACGAGAAGGGGAGGTACTTGAGGCTCGTACCTCTGTCGGTCATCCCCCCACGACACGGGTTCCGGTTAGTACAGTATTCCCGTATTTGCTAAATACCCAGGAAAATAAGGCAGCAAGTACCTCGGGTTAAAGCCAATCAGATCATGCGCGCCGCCTGTGAGGCTGAAGTTGGAAACGAAGCAGCATATCAGCCAGGTACGGTTCATCAGTTTCCCTTATGCCCCGGGTCGGGCAAGAGCTATCATCATCTTACTTGCGATAAAACTGGGCAGAAGTGGCCAGGGACCTTAGGCCTTCGGATCCAGGTCCGCCAAAGTTGAACAGCACGCTCCCCCTGGCGGGCTGCGTCGCCGCCTGGACCCTGACCAGTTCGAGGGTGTGGGTCGCGGTGGCGTTGGGGCTGGGCGGCGCCGTGTAGTCGAGGGGCACAACTAGCTCTGCGCACTTGATGGGCAGGTCCGCAGCCTTGACTAGGCCCGGGTCGCAGTCGCCCCAGATTATGGTGCCGGTGCCGGTGCCGTTACCATTGCCCTGGGTCACCGCCGCCCGAGAGATTATACGGTGGCGATAGTAAGGCACAGGGGCGGCGAAGGCGTCGACCTCCGTGACAAGCACGGGGAGCAGCGCAGCGAGGGCAACGATGGTGATCATGGTGTCGGGGGTGCGTGGGTTGTGAAATGGCTAAAGATGCGCCGGGGTTGCCCGCTTGGTCTGGGATGGGATCGTGAGGCCGATAGAGCCAAAGTGGGTGTGGTTCTTCTGCTGGGAGCGGGCGAATCTTTTATAGCCCGGCATACAAACGGAACTCGGGATGTTAGATGACCCATGGTCGGGGTTGGTCGGAACAAGTCGATAAGCCTGCCAGCCGAGGCAGATCATCGTGGATGCCTTCCCAATGCCCCGCAAGCTATGTCACACGCACAAAGTCTACCTTACAGTCATGAATTAAAGCCGTTATTTCCCAAAAATACAACCAAAACCAGCCAAGCATCACTTGACCAGTCCGTTGACAGGCTCGGCCACGCATCGAAATATCGCATGAGCGGGTATAACGTAAACACCTTTGCGCGGCTTTAAAAAAGAAAGGCTCCTTGGTACTATTTGGCGAATACTAGCCCACGTCTCGCCATGAGATGTCACCGTAGTAGGGCTCGTTTTCGGTGGGCTGTGCGGGAACATCGGAGGGCTCGTTGTTGCGCGACCGTAAGCACACCTGCTGCCGTGCCTGGTGCCCCCTTACCGACGTACGCGGGTTCTGGTTCAGGGGTGTGGCAGATACGCGTGTTCGTACGTCCCGGCAGGAGGACCTTGCATGTACGGCGGGCGTATTTGGCCCCCTCTCTCAACAGTCTCAGCCACGCGGCTCCTTCGGTGTTATTTCGTATCCTCGGTTAATCCTCGAGGTGATGCGCAAAGCATAGGCATTGTTTGGAAGAACAGCCTTGGCTCTTTCGACACATCCCCGGAAGAGATCACCCTCCGGCACTCGGCACAACCTATTCTCGAAGGGGATGCCGTTTGTCTTCTGCAAGGAGCATCGAAGCCTACCATCGTCAGGCCGCGCGACTGCTATTCGGCAATTATTATAATTGCAGCTCCCCTGACAGTGACAGATAGCGAATCGCCGGACCATCTACAACGGATCACATCTCCAATCGATTTCGTACTTATCTGGGACTGGGACGCATCTCAACGCAAGCCACAAGATCGAGGTTGTGAATCCTTCATAAGCAGGCCAGGGGGACCCCAGGGGCCGTGGACAGAGTGGCAAGATTATCTGGATAAAACTACCAGATTGTGGAATTTCGGGGTATTATTAAACGGGATGGAAAGACACGAAGACGCTGGGAAATTTTTCCAGAAAGCGGTCGAGGTGTATGGACGGCATTGAGAAGCATAGGCGATTATCCGGGTTACAGCGCTTGGATAAAGGCGGATGGGGAAACATTAAAGATGATCCATGATCTAGTTATTGGCGCTGCCAATGACGCCAAGAGCTTTAACGACCAAACACCGCTATTGTGGGCCGCAAAGAACGGGCACAAGGCCGTCGTGAAGCTACATAAAGGCCCCGCTATTGAGACAAAGGACAGTGAATACTTCCGGACGCCGCTGTCGTGGGCCGCAGGGAACGGGGACGAGGCCTCGGTGAAGCTACTGCTCGACAAAGGCGCGACCATCGAAACGAAGGATTGCTACGGGCGTACACCGCTGCACCGGGCCGCGGAGTACGGGCACGAGGCGGTCGCGAGGCTGCTGGCGGCGGAGCTGGGCGCCCTCGGCCGGCGGCCCAGCGAGCTGTACGCCTCGCGCGAGGGGATCTCGGTCGGCTCAAGGAAGAGCCCCGCCGTGGAAACACTCCATAACCCTGGTGCACGAGGATTTACAGCTACTGTTGAGTACGTGCCTTGCCATGCTAACCAGCAAATCCTAAAATTTGAGAACCGCCAGAATGAGCTAACTCTGAATTTCCTCAGTCTGGTGCTGATCCATGGCCTGAATGGTGACTACCTCAAGACATGGACCCATGAAACAACCAAAGTGTGCTGGCCCAAGGATTTGCTGCCGAGAGAGTTGCCAGACATGCGGGTCCTATCCTTTGCGTACAACGCCGACATCTATGGAAACACGTCTGTCGCCGGGATCCAGGGCAATGCCCAGGCCTTGCTGGCGAGACTACGGGACTTGCGCAGGGACCGGGACTATAGCAGGCCGATCGTATTTGTGGCCCACAATTTGGGCGGAATCGTCCTGAAGCAGGTCAGGCGTTATTTTCACAGGTTGTCGTTAGGAATTGTCTGCTGACTTGGCGTCCAGGCACTTTGCGCTGCTCGAATTGACAACCGATACCAGCACCTTTTCTCGGCGACACGCGGCTTTGTGAGCAGGGCCACTTCTAGAATTTGTTAGCATAAATATTAACACAAGTGGCAGTTGCTGTACGGAACGCCGCACCTTGGAGCTGACAAGTCCCAGTGGCTGTCGATAGTCCAATCCTCAGCACCCGTGGCGCCGCGGCGGTTCGGCTGGAAAGGTCGCCCATCTCAGCTCGTCGACTCCTTGACGAAGAACTCGTCTGATATCTCCAACCTCCACGAGGACTTTCGGTTCTTGGCTCGGAGGTTTGCCATTGTAAGCTTCTATGAGACCATGGCGTTGCCTGGGACAAAGGCCCTGGTTGTGGACAAGCTGAGCTCTCGTATGCATCTGGAGCACGAAGAACAGGTGCCTATGGCCGCGGACCACTTGGGCCTTTGTCGGTTCAACGATGCCAGCGACCCAGGTTTCCGGACGACTTGCTGGTACATTAAACGGGTTGCACAGGGGCTTGGCCACGGACTTGACCAACGAACAGCCGTTCAGGTGGGGAGTGGCAAAGGAGTGGTGGAATTGGAGCAGTTCTGATGTTACCTGGGAGTTATTTGAAGCTTGGGGGAAAATGTATATTACAACACAATTGTAGGTTCCATGGAAATTCGCCGCCGAGTTTGGCTGCCGCTGGTCGCCGATTTGGGCGGCAGTTTGCCCTGGATGCCAAGCCAAGGTCCGCCATGATTGATATATGCCTTTATAGGCCAAGTTCTAACTCTGAACATTCTGATCCTGGGCATTCTGATTCTAAATCATTCTGATCCTAGCAATCCGATCCTGAGAAATCCTGATCCTCAGCACTCCTATCCGTAGTAGCCTCACTCCCGGGCACCTCGCAACAACCCCTGCCTCAGAGCATCCAGATCCGCAGCAGCCTGTTGCAGAGCAGCCCGAGCTACAGCATCGTTATCCATAAGATTGACAGAACTGACGCAAGGGCGAGCCCCGGCGGTGGTAACCCAGTGAACACCCTCCGTAGGGACGCCAACCGCGAAGCGTCTCGTATGGGCATCACCCTGTTTGTCGATGATCCGATATGGGCTGCGGGTGATGTCGACGGCACCGGTTTTGTAGCCATCAATCTCGTGAGGCCTGCATTCCCCGTGCTCAAGCATATACCTGAGCAGAGGATCGTCGGTATGAGTGAGGTTTGGCGGCGGGACCCAGGCATCGATGATAGTCCGGATGCTGACGGTGTGTCCGGGAATCTTGGCTGATCTGGCAGGCCAGGCACCTTCCCCGAGACTCAGGGCCGGTTCTGGGCCAAGGACCTGCAGGATTCCGGCTTCCATCAGAGCGGCCATCTCCTCGATACGCCGACGAGGGGGTCCGATGGACAGGAATGAGCTGAGCGGCGTGAAATCCTGGACTATGTCGTCCCTGTACGACACACCGTTCACGCCGTGGTGATCCACGATAAGGCGCACTTCGTTGCGGATATCACGTAGAACATCAAGAGCCGCCTTCAGGGGTCCTCTGACGTTCCCTTCCTTTGCGTCCTTGACATCTCGCTTCAGGTAGTCAAGCAGCCATTCGTTCCACTCCTCGGTCGTGGTGAAGATGCTGTCGCCTTGGGGCTTTCGAAGGCGCTCCCAAGACCACGCAGGCTCGGGAACTCCGAGACGTTGCAAGTTGGCAGCTTCGTTCGGGTCGTTCTCACCAAGTTCTCTGATGAACCTTTCCGAGTCGTCCTTGAAACTTTGGCGGTCTCTCTGGAATCTCTGGCCGTCTTCCATGAAGTTCCCAGAGCCTCTCCAGAAGTTTTTGTGATCGTCCGCCTTTTTCTTCTCGAATAAAGCCTTGTAATAGACGGACTTGACCTCCTTGGCAACGAGCGGCCAGATTTCCTCCTTGAACTTCGGAGCATTTTCACCCCCAGCCCGTTGGTTGAATGATGCAATGACCTCCTCGGTCAGAAAGAGTGACTTGTGACGGCCGAACGCGCCCTTCTCGTTATCGCCGCGGGCGTGGTGGGGGATACCGCGGGTGGAGCTGGCGTATATCTTGGGCTCTTTACCCGATGGATGGTAAGTGAGACCGCTATCCGAGGGTTCGAACCGCCCGCCTCGTCGAGAGGTGAGCAAAACCATGTAGTCGAAGAAGACAAGTCCGAGACCGCGCAGGAGCACGGCATCACCGGGGGCAATGGCGCCGAGGTCAGTGTCGGCTGGGTTGCCGGGTGGGAAGTACCGTAGACCGGGATTGGCGGCGACATCGTCGGCGAAGAGTTTTGCGGTGTTGCTAAGAAGCCGGGGAACATGGCCTTGGGCCAGGATAACGGCAGAAAGATTAGGCAAGGTTTCATTGGTAGACAAGGTGAGTCTCTGTTTGCCACTGTTGATGCTGGTGGTTTCGAGTTGAATGGCACTAGCGCGGTGCTCCGAGATCTTCACAATCGCGGTCTCCTCCCTAGCCCTCTTGCAGACCTCGCCATATACCCATTCCAGGTAACAGCCATGCGCGAAGCGGGTAGGGTAGTCATTCGGACCCAACTGGAGCCAGCTTTCCCCCGCTGCCCAAGCGTGCAGGCTTGGACCAGGATGGATGGGCCCCACGCAGTTCACACTTTCATCCGTGAACAGGGTGATCTGGGACGCGACCGTGTTCATCAGGAGCCGTGGTGGTTGATCTGTTCGCCACACCTTGCCCGGGCCGAGAGGGTATGGGTCGATAACGTGGATCGTGAGCGTTCCCTTGTCCTTGAGGATAGCCCCTGCAGAGGCGCAAAGACGTTCCAAGCAACTTGTTCCGCGCGGTCCAGCCCCGACTATGGCGATGTGGGTGTTCACCATTGTGAAAAGACGTTGCAAATTCGAATGTGAAAGTTCTTCTCTTCCTTGTCGGGCAGCGAGGGGGATTGTGATGTGCGTTCTTGTTGGGGCCTGGGAGCCCAGAATGGTTGCGATCTTGATCGGACAGAGCAGCGGAGAAACGTCGGCGGTGGCTTGAATGCGTGTTTGCAACAGGCGCTGGGGTCGGATTTCAGGCTAGAGTCAGGGAACAGTTGAGGATTGTGCCTGAGAACAGAACGAATTGGAGGTGGCGCGGCGAAGGCGCAGATAACGGAAGCGTGTTTAAGGATAATGGTATACGGGTTCTGGCTGGGGGACAGCACTCAGAAACGGGGGAGTTCCAAATCACCACGACCACAAAAATGGTGAACAGGAGGCGACTTGGCGGACCCTTTCAGTGTCAAGGACGTCGCACGGGGGATCAGACGATCACAAGGTATTTTGGGTGCAGGACTGGGTGCTTACTCAAAGGGGTGCTTTGAAGCTAACTAGAATTGACTGATATTGGTTAAGGGTCTCCAGTGCCTAACGCCTGCTGGAGATTAGGCTGTCAGAGCACGTAAGGCGCTGTGCCACGCCATAGCATCTATGGTTTGACCAGTCGATGCCCAAATTTAAGTCCTTGGAGAGTTGAGAGAGCTAGACTTGGGCATCGACCGGTTAGACTATATCCAGTGGGGACCGGTTCCTTTGAGGCATCAGCCGGGTTTACCCAATCCGAGCGGGTTACCTAACTGGATGCCAGGTGCGCTGACCCCCTTGGTGTGATGTTTATGGCTAATAGGAGCAGCCTAGTCAAGAGATCCGCAACTTAGGCAAATTTCCTGCCCGAGTTTTCCTCCCTCGTAGGGCTTACGACACTAACCTTGGCAATGCCTTACTCAAGTTCCTTGATCCTAAATTGATTCTTCCCAGCCAATAATTGTCCTTCCTAGAATATCCTTTTTCCCAACTGTTGGTCAACGCAGCCTCTTGTCCACGTAATAGCTATGATCGACTGGTCCTTCTACCAGTGAGTGATAGCTAACAAGTTCACAATGAGTGGCTACGTGTCACAACCCGCTGATAGTTAGGCTGAAATGCGAATCGAGTAGATTGAAGCCGAATTGGGAATGAAGATGATGATCGGAGGGCAGGGGGAGTCGGAGTCGGAAGGGGGGGTGGGCGGGGGCGTCGACTTAAGGTACCTAGCACTCCTTTACTACTAGGGGCACTAGCAACGGGGTTGAAGTCAGGCACATAAGGGACATCGCATCCTTGAGCTACGGAGAGGAATCGGAACCTGCAACCTACCTCCCTTTGACTACCTGCACAAAGCTGCTTAGCTGCTTGACCTTTTCACTCTGGCTGCCCTATTCATCGCCCGAAGCACCTCGACAGGTATAATACCCCACTTGAGGCAAAAATTTCTGTCTAATATGTGCTAACTTCAAATAGGGGCAAAACTATTGCACTACGAATGAATCACTCAGTGTCTGGCTCGACGACAAGAAGCATTCCATCGAAGACCATATTTTCGAATGCACTCTCAGATTCATCAATGACAGAGTCATCTGGGGGCCCGCCTCATGCCACGACAACACGATTTCTCTGGGAGAAGCCATCTCTATGGCGGATAGCCGCTTCAAGATGTCATTTACCAAGAAGGGCAAGACAGTCGAAGGTCACACACGCTCTATCAGCGTGAGTTCGGGGGACCAAGTTCTTCTAAACAGGCTCTCCACTCACGATAACATGGCTGGCTTGGTTAGCGCTATCAACCTCGCTCTTGACCTCGCTCAAGTAGACATTGCAGACTAGCTCTCGTGGGGTGTCTATGGCTACATTTCTGGTAGAAGGTTTGGGCTATATTGAATGGAGGAAAATACGAATATGTAGCTAAGGTACCTTTAAGAACACATTCATGCGCCTCGCAGGAGAGTGCCAGCACCCCAAGAATCAGTGGAAACGTTCGCTGTAGAAGAAAGCTCACTGCCGGCCTGCAGATGGCCCTGTCAAGGGACTACATCGACGGGGATGGCCCCTTTCGAGAAGTTCGCCGCCCGATAGACTCGGGAGCTGCACTTCATCTGGAAGCAGCCCCCGCGAGATCCGAGGGAAGGAGAAGGAGAAGGACGCCGGTCCTGAGAAGAATGCCCCCAACGCCCAACAAGGTGGGTGGACCGGCCGGTGCCGCCTCCAACAAGATCAAGATCCGAGGCTGCAAACTCGGGCAGCCGAGAGCCCGGCTTGTTAGTGGCGGCTCACACAAAGACACAAAGAAAAGGCGAAGGACAAGAACTGATGACACGAGATAGCATATCAGATTAGGATCATATTGGGAGGACGCGGAGGGAGCAGGAAGTGGATGGGGCACATAGCAAAAAATCCCGAGAGATGTAGAAAATTGGTCCCTGTCGACCCCTGGATGATGGTGACATGCAAACGTGCTGGCGAATTTAACAACACGAAAGCAACATTAAAATATTACACTTTCACAAGGGGCGCTACATTTAGCCGCCGAGCGGGGGCACGAAAACGTTGCGCAGCTGCTGATAAAAGCAGGTGCTATAACCGTGCACTCCTGAGCGCCGCTGCACCAAGCTGCCGACAAAGGGTACGCGCAAATCACGAGGCTGCTTCTCAAAAGCGGCGCCAAGAAGAATGCGAAGGACTTTCAAGGGTGGACTCCAAGGGCATTGGCCGCCAAGAAAGGACACCGAAAGGTTGCGAGTCTGCTTGAAAGTTGATGGCACCATGAACAACGACTTCACTGCCTCTCCATCTACCGCCTACCGCCAGTCTTTTATATTACGTCCAGGACTTCATGCTACTATACAAACTGGCATGCCATTGAACATGGTGTTCCTCTGGGTGAAACGGGCTTGCTGTGACAATGGCAGGCTGTGATGCCTGGGTGCCTGGCATTGACGGCCCACGGCCCACAGCCCCGGACTGGCCCGTGGGATGCTGCAGCAGCTGGTGGGCAGGCTACACCGGATATCGGCCTTGTTGGGCTGCAGCCTGGACCCCTTGCGCCGAAAGGGGCGCACCACCCAAACGGGCGTGCTCATTGTCGGCGGCGATGACGTGCTTTTGGATCACCCCACACTCTTTCCCCATGCGGAGCTGAGCTGTGGCATGTGGGACCCAACGAGCTTCCCATGCCATTCGCGCGCAGAACCCCCCGCTTTTCCAAAGCCCACGGGTGCCGTCGAAGGACAAGAAAAAGTGCTGTGTAAGGGAATGATGAGATCGAAACCGTGCTCCGGGCTGC